CATAAAGAAGTGCCGATTTTCAGTTCGGCAGTTGACAATACTCGGCTACGTCGTGTCCAAGGACGGAATTCTTCCCGATCCAGCCAAGCTTCGGGCCATAACCGAGTTCCCGAAGCCGTCATCCGACAAGGAACTGCGCAGTTTCGTAGGACTGTGTTTCTACTTTCGGCGCTTCATCTGAAACTTCGCGTCTATCACATCGCCGCTGACGAAGCTCCTCGGAAGTAACGGGCCTCTCCATTCATGGTCATCACAGTGCGACGACGCATTCACAGCGCTCCGTCGTTTGTTGACGTCGCCTCCCATACTCGACCACTACGACCCTACGGCCCCTACAGAGGTACACACGGACGCCAGTGGTGTCTGTCTCGGCGCTGTCCCCTTGCGCAGCGCAAACCAGGGTTCCCGGAATATGTCGTGGCGTATGCAAGCCGTACGCTTACAAAAGCCGAGACTAATTACACCGTCACTGAGAAAGAATGTCTGGCAATCGTCTGGGCCCTTAACAAGTTCTGACCTTATTTGTATGGTCACCCATTTGATGTAGTCACCGACCATCACGCACTATGCTGGTTGTCGTCATTAAAAGATCCCTCAGGCCATCTCGCACGGTGGGCACTTCGCCTGCAAGACTACGACATCCACGGAAGGCAACATGCTGACGACGACGCCCTGTCACGCTCTTCCATGCCCAACGACAATGCCCACGACTCAGCGTCTCACCTTGCCGTTTCTTCCATTGGCATTCATGCCGTTGCTACTGAACAGCGCAAGGATCAATGGATTGCCTCACTGATAGACTTGCTGACTGATCCAACCACTCCATCCACTCGCGCGTTGCGTCGTCAAGCCCACCATTTCGCCGTTCGCGACGACCTCCTCCACCGTCGCAATTACAACGGCGACGGCCACAGTGGCTACTAGTCATACCCCGCAGTCTGCGCTCTGACATATGCGAATTCTTTCATTCTGATGCGCAATGTGCGCACTCCGGCGTAACGAAGACTTACCACCACATTCGCCAACGGTACTTTTGGCGCGGCATGTACTGCTACGTGCAGAAATTCGTTCAATCCTGCATAGAATGTCTGCGCCGCAAAACTTCAACGCACCTGTCGCCGGTAGGTCTGCAACCTCTACCTTGCCCTGCCAGGCCGTTTGGGCGCGTTGGCATAGATTTGTATGGGCCACTTCCACTAACGTCGGCTGGTAACCGCTGGGCCATTGTTGCTGTGGACCATCTCACGCGATACGCCGAAACTGCCGCTCTCCCCGCGGCTATAGCGAGCGATTTGGCCTCCTTCCTGCTCCAACGATTCATACTGCGACACGGTCCACCTCAGGAACTGCTCAGTGATCGAGGCCGCGTCTTCCTGTCTGAAGTGGTCGAAGCCATTCTCAAAGAGTGCAACGTTGTTCACCGCAAAACTGCAGCTTACCACCCGCGGACGAATGGCCTCACTGAACGCTTCCACCGTACGCTCGGTGACATGCTCTCCAAGTACATCGCCGCCGATCACACAAATTGGGATGCTATTCTACCTTTCGTCACCCTCGCATATAACACCACCCCTCCGAGCACTACTGGCTTTTCACCTTTCTTTTTATTATGTGAAAGAAACCCGTCGCACACCATCGGCACTGTACTTCCGTACAAGCCAGATCCGTCCGAGTGGGCGCCTATTTCTGCTACAGCCAAGCTTGCTGAAGAGTGTCGAGAGCTTGCAAGGACCTTTACAGCGCATGATCAAAAGCGGCAAAAAGGCAGTCGCGCTGACACCAGCACTACTGCTCCCACGTTCCTGCCTGGAGCGCTCGTCTGGCTCTCGATCCCTACCACTTCAACTGCCCTATCTTCAAAACTATTGCCCAAATACGAAGGCCCCTACTATGTCGTCGAACGCACTTCCACTGTAAATTACTTAATCAAACTCATCGAACCATCTTCGGACATGCGCCGTCGAGGGCGTGGCATTGTCAACGTGGAGCGCCTCAAAGCCTACCACGACCCACTCATAGTAACCAGCTGTTAGGTCGCCAGGCGGCTCCCTCTTCGTATCCGGGGTAGTTGTTTGATTGATTTTGTGGAGTTTAACGTCCCAAAACCACCATATGAATTTGAGAGACGCCGTAGTGGAGGGCTCCGGAAATTTCGACCACCTGGGGTTCTTTAACGTGCACCCAAATCTGAGTACACGGGCCTACAACATTTCCGCCTCCACCGGAAATGCAGCCGCCGCCGCCGGGATGGGGGTAGTTGTGGCGAAGCCTTCGAACAGTAGGTCGTCCTCTCCAGCGCTTTCTAGTGGGTCGCCCTTTTAGCAAAAAGAAGAGCAGCTAGTGCAGAGAAGAGAGTCGGTACCCGCATCGACTGTCGCTGTCAAGCATCATCGACAAGTGTCCGTCAATAAACGTTGCAATAATAATAATAATAATAATAATAATAATAATAATAATAATAATAATAATAATAATAATAATAATAATAATAATAATAATAATAATAATAATAATAATAATAATAATAATAATAATAATAATAATAATAATAATATATTTTATTCTTATTATGTGCTTAGGAATGACCATAGCATCTGAAATACAGGTGAAGAGTTAAGCCTCGTGAAGCTAACAAGGTTAGTTGTTCTTGAGCAGCCAGTGGGAAACCCATAAAAACGTCAGACTCTGGAGTTTCGCGGACTCGTAACGCCACCAGTCGGGGCAGTTTTGGGCAGTGCATACCTCGACTCTTCTTCGTGGTTGGCTGCGCAACCATTTACAACTAGCACGGTCGAAACCACACTTGAGCTAAATATTACGTGAAAAGAGCCAAGAATTCCCATCCCCTAGTCGAAAGCGTCGCCGAACTGCCATCACGTGCTTGCTGGTTCACTCATATTGTGATTTTCGTTTTATAGGGTAAGCACAAAGTCTAATTCTTAAATAAAAGCTGACCCATATGATTCAAGGGAGGTTGCTCCTTGCGAGTTCCTGAAAGGACGGTCCTGCGCAGTGGTATGTTTTGCAGCATACCCGTCGTTATAAGATAGACTGGTCCTTCAGGAATGTTATTGCCCCATCCTGCATATGTCTAAAAATATTCAAGCTTGACACTGATGCAAGGCATGGCGGACATGATTCAAGAAATAGAATGAAGTGGCCGAAACCGTGGCGGAAATTTAATTTCCTTTTTTTCATGCACAGTTCCGTATTCGAAAGTTTAGAAAGAAATGAAACCTTCTGGGAGATGTGGCTTGCCAAGATCAAGTTGAAAATGCAGCCATAGTAAACAAAATGTCCCCACGAAAACACAATATCCAATAAATTCATTTTAAATCACAGACTGTTAATCTGTAAGTAACACCACGAATCGCCCATGAAATCCCTCCCTGGGCTGCTTACTTTTTCGCATGCGCACACAAGAGACGGTGTGCACGCAGTGCAATGGTTGAAAGTACTTCCTATGTTATCCATATTAGTAACGTCAGTAGGCAACTATAGAGAGCTCACAATATGCCACTGAAAGAGAGTCTTACGATATAGACATAACAGTAAACAACGAAATACTTGGTTTATTCAAGTTGAAAGAAAGGTTAATTAAAGTTCTGGATAGCATCGGCCGCAGTGAGTAATTTTTCATAAAAACGAAATTGTTTAAAACAAATAGCGGTAATGTGCTCAGCACACTGCTCCTGCAAATGTTAGTTCAAGCTGCAAAAGCGGAGGAACAAGCAGGTGGCGATGCTGCGGCTGCAAAAGCTTCAGCGCACGAGCAAGCCACCGATTCTTGCCAATGGGCTGCATCATTGGATCCTCTCGCGCGGCGCAGCCACCGCAGTACCGGCCACAATGCGGCAAGCGAAGAGGTCGGCCACTGAAACAGCGTAAGGCATGAGAACACCATTATCCTAGCAATTGAAATGAGCGAAAACGTTACATGCACGACGCGTTGAAAGACCCAAAGTTTGAAAAGTGCTTTCTTTAACTTTCTCAGCTCTTATGACAACAAAAATTACGTCGACTATCGTTCGTGTAAGGCACTACTGCCGTGCGGGATACATTTAGGGAGAGCGACGCAGTTTTTATGTTCCGCGTTACGTGCATGGTTTAATTAATCTCACGAGGTCCATATATGCATTCACGAAAAACGACTCGAAAGTGTATTTTTTTCATGAGAGTCGACATAGAGGCTTCCACACACACAGGCTTCCCTGCCCACCTATGAAAATTTTCTGTATGTAATGTGCATTTGCACGGCCGCAAGGGTCGAGATCATTTGCGTTCTCTTTGTTATCTGTTGTGTCGTGGCGCCACCTGTGAGTGGCACGCGCACTGAGTGTGCCCTAGTGTGTACTCTGTTCTATATAGGTCGTCTTTAACAGCACACACGTGATTGAATGCAGCCAATCGCGTGTGTCCGCGTGCCCGTTGTGTGTCGTTCAATAAACGGCCGCTGGCCGGCTCAGTCTTTGTTGGGTTCCCGCGGGCTCCGGTCAACTCGCTTCTACTGCGCGTGTTGGGGGGCGTGCCGGCACACGTTGCATCTCGCGTTCAGTCGTCGGGCGCTCCCGTTGGATGCCGCTCGCTGACACAACAAAATGGCGACGAGGATGCTCTTCGGCTCGGTTACTACCACGGCAGAAAGAACCCGTGAGGCCTAGCGCTCTTTGTGTGCAGACTCTGGCAAGCTCTCGCCTAGGCCTTCGCGTTTGCTCCGCTCCACACCTCTCCTGTCGGCATGGCTCTCTTCGAGCACCTTCCTGTCTTTCTCCAGCTGCCGGGGCCGCCCCCGGTTCCGTGGACTCATGGGAAAAAAAATGCTTCAGGCCCACCTCGAGGCGGCCGGCGGCAGCGACTAGAACGACGCGCGTCGTGCGTCGGCGCTCGTCAACCTGCTGGGACGGGAAGGACAGCGGAGGTATTTCGCGGCAGCCGAACAGGAAGAAGCCCTTCACGAGACGAGCAATGCGGCGTCTACTCCGAGCAACGCGGCGCCAACTATGCCGGCGTCTGACCCAGATTCTTCGGCTCCGGCTGTTACAAAGTATGACAGTCTCGTCAAGCAGCTCGACCGGCTTTTCGCCGCGTCCACTAATCCGCTAGTTGAACGTCACGAGTTCACTAGTCGTCGCCAACTCCCCGGCGAGAGTTTCCTCGACTACGCGACAGTCCTGAAGGAGAAAGCCGTACGATGGAAGTTTGGGCTCACGTACGCGGAACGCGTCCACGATCAGATTATTCACGGCTCGTCCAACTTGTGGTTGAGAGAGAAGTTGCTGGCATACGGTGAAGAGTTGTCCTTGGAGAAAGCGGAAGAAGTCGGTCGGACGCTCGAAGCATTGTCCTTGGCGAACCAAGCGTTTGCTCCCAGTCAACCTGAACATGTGGAAGCTGTTGGGCAAGGCGCCCAATATGGCGGCGCAAAGAGAAAGAATGGCTGCGCCAGTCGGGGAGGTCGTGACGTCACGTCACCAGGTCCTGGAGGCCAAGATGGCGACTTTCAGCCGCAGTCGTCGTCTGGGTACCGTGCTCCAGTCCCAAATGAGAAGTCTCAAGGCAACTTCCAACCTCAATTGTGCGACCGCTGTGGAAGCAGACGGCACCACTCAAGTTTTCGAAATTGTCCAGCCCGAAGTCGGCGTTGCAATACGTGCAACGCTTGGGGACATTTCACGTCGATGTGCCGCAAGACTGCCCCTGTACAGCGCGTCTTTTCGAGGGGAGCTGTCGACGTCGTACCGGAGCAGCAGGCCTCCACTCAGTTGAACTCAACTTCAAGGTCATCAGTGTTATCTTCAGATCGTCCTTTGTTGTCCGTGCTCACAGTTAGCACCTCTTCCAGAAAAGACTTAGTCGTCCACGCTGTGGTCGATGGTGTTACCCTGCGACTACTGGTGGATACAGGAGCGTCTGTATCCTTGATGACTGCAGAAGACTTTCAGCGTCATTTCAGCAAACAGCACAGCCTGTCCAAAGCTGTAGTCGACTTGCGAAACTTCTCCAAACAGTGCATCAGGATCCTTGGCTCCTTCCAAGCTCCAGACAAAGTGTTGCAGCGGTCTTGCGCCGTGGTCTTCTACGTCACCATTAAGGGCACATCGCTTTTGGGCCTTGACGCCATTCAGCGACTGGGCATCCAGATTGACGGCGCGTCGTTGACGTGTCGACTCGCATCATGTGAAGTGCAGTGTCCCTCCAACGTGCCTTCGGGCTTCGAGCAGCTCTTCAGCGACGAGTTGGGTCTCGTCAAGGGTTTCATTTATCGCATTCAACTGCGGCCAGGTGTGACTGCGGTTGCATCCAAGCTGAGGCATCTCCCTCTGGCTTTTCGCGATCAGGTGGCGACCGAGTTTCGACGAATCGAGGACTCTGATGTCATCGAACGCGACGACGCTTCCGAGTGGGTCTCGCCGCTCGTCGTCGTTCGCAACAAAAATGGAAGCATTCGGCTGTGTGTAGATCTCAGGGAACCAAATAAGGCAATTATCATCGATGGGTATCCTTTGCCGCACGTTGAAGAGTTGTTGCAGATGTTTCATGAATCCACTTGTTTTTCTAAGCTAGACTTGGTGTCAGCTTATCACCAGCTGTTGTTAGAGGAGAGCAGTAGGGACTTAACGACGTTCATCACGCATGATGGCTTCTTCAGGTTTAAGCGTGTCTGTTTCGGTCTGGCGTCTGCGCTTGCAGTTTTTCAAAAAATGATGTCCAGATTTTAAAAGATTGCAAGAATGTAATTTGCTATCTTGATGATGTCCTTGTGTGGGGTAAGACTCAGTCTGAGCCAAGGAGGTTATATTAAAACTTCTGGAGTGGCGGAGAGGCTCCGCAGCTGAAGCCGACACCGCAGGGCAGAAAAGGGACATCAGGGCAGAAAAGGGATGGGCGCATTTTAGCGTGCGTGGCTTTCGTGTTGATTTAGTGCTAGTAATGTTGCGTATCATGCCTCTAATTGAACAAGACGCTTCTGAACACGTCTGTGATCACATTTTGAGACGACGATGTTGGGCTCTTGGGTAGTATTTGGCTGCATGAATCGTGTGAGGTGGACACTGGGCTCAGCTTTCGATGTTTAAGTAGGCATGCTTCGCTCATTCGCTTATTCTCCCATATTTTAGCGACTATGCGACTGCATTAATAAATTTTCTTTTGGCGTCCGGGGGCAAAATGACACTAAAGAATAATTTTTTGCAGGCTCTATGTTTTTGTAGTAATGTTTGTAGGCTCTCTCTCTCTCTATATATATAGTGGGAGTAATAACTCAATGGGCCAGTTAGTCTTCGTGAAGGTATGGGATATGGCACAACGGGAGCGTTGTCAACAAAGATAAATATATTTATTTCCCAACAGTTTCGGGAGGGGTCCTCCCTTCATCAGGGGATGAGTTTTATATATGTGTGTGTGTGTGTTTGTGTGTGTGTGTGTGTGATCTCCCTCAGTACGTTTTTTTTATAGTGAAAGGTGTTACGAGATCAGAACACGGGTCATGCGTAGAGCCGTGTCCGCCGCCGCTGCCACTCGTAATTAGTATCGAACAAAAAAAAAACTCGGTAAGTTAAGAATATCAATGACACAATGAGAGTCCAATCCGGGTCCGCTGCGTGCCAACCCAGCATTCTACCACTGAGTTGCGCCAGCGCTGGAAATTGTTTCTAAACTGGTTTTAGGCAGGCTTGATGTCTGGAAACGAGTCGCATTAATATGAGTAATAAAGCGTTTAAGACCATCAAGGAACAGCGAGGCGTCACACAATGCGAATTTCGTGACGACTTGGTCGTCCAACGCTCCCATCCATTAAAAAACTTGTTCTTGATCACCTATTAACTGTGGTGCATAACCACTTCACGCATATTTCTTCATCGTCATCAGCCACTGCATAAAAAAAATGCACTAAACTTCAAACAAGTGTGTAGCGAATACCGCGTACGATTCTCCAAAGAATGGCGAAGGATAGCATAGTCAATGCTGGCCTATTACAGAAAATTTATGATTATTTATGGCATTGTGGGTACCCAGCAGTGCCCTTGTAGCATCCCAAAGAGTTTTTAGAGAAGGCTCTGAAAGACCACTCTCCCAGCTTTCGCTGTGACTGTTCTGCGCGTTCCTTGCAGGTCTGGCGTGTTTTTTGTTTTTTACATGCTCGGAACGCTAAGTGTCCAAGAAAAATTAAAGCATATGTGCATTAAAGTCATTTCCACGTTCCTTCGCCTACTAAAAATATTAAACAGGTGCTTTTATAGCAATAACGAAACGCACGGCAAGCATCACGGTGCTTCAAAAGCAGGCGCCGCCTCCTTCTGCCCTGAGCAATATGGCCGCTGCGGCTTCACTTCGAGACATGGGCAGGCATGCGGGACCGCCACTCCAGAAGATTTAGTATAACCTCCTTGGTCTGAGCATGACGCGAGCCTAATTGAAGTCTTGACTTGCATAGCCAACAGTGGCATGAAGTTGAATGATAAATGTCTTTTTTCCGTGAAAGAACTTAGCTTCTTGGGACACCGGATTTCAGCTGATGGCATCTCGCCGTTAGAAAGTAAAGTAAAGTCAGTCATTTTTAGGTCTGGCAGGATACTATGCCAAGTTCATTGATCACTATGCAGACCTAGTTGAACCGCTTCGTCTCATGCTCAGACAGGGCCAAAAGTTTTGCTGGTCGGAGGATGCCCAATGCAGTTTTAACCAGTTTAAAAGGCGCCTGACTTCCTCGCCTGTCATTAAGGTGTTTATTCCTGAGCTACCTGTGGTGGTTACAACAGATGCATCTGACGTGGGCATCGCGGCTGTTTTACAGCAGCGGTATGGTCCTAAGCTTGAAACAGTAGCCTTTGCGTCGAGAACCTTGTCAGATACTAAAAGAAAGTACTCTGTGGGTGAACGCGAAGCGCTTGCCCGTCTATTCGAGTGTGAAAGGTGGCATATTTACCTCTGGGGTAGACGTTTCACCCTTAGAACCGACCATCAGGCTGTAGTTGCTTTGTTAGCCGCAGGTGATGCAGGCCGACGGCCTTTAAGGATTTCGCGGTGGTCAGCTAGACTTTTGTATTACAACTTTGACATAGAATATTGCAAGGGCTCAGAAAATGTGGTCGCTGATGCCTTGTCTAGGCTGCCAATTCAGACCTGTCCAGAACTTAGCAAGGATGAAGAAATAGTGTCTTTAGTGACAACTGCAGTTGACAAAGAAACCGTCCAACTTGCAACGAATGCAGATGTGACGTTGAAAAAAGTCTGTGAATGTGTATCCAAGGGCTGGCCTTTTAAGAAGCATATAAACAATGAGTTAATAGCTTACTTTCATGTTAGGGATGAACTCTCTTGTGTTGACGGATTACTCATGCGTGGTGACGGTGTAGTCGTTCATATTGTTCTGGTACCTAGTTTCCTCCAATAAGCACATGAAAATCATCAAAGGAGAGTACGTACTAAGCAACTTCTGCGTGAAAGGTATTGCTGGCCCCAAATGAATCGTTCTGTAGAAGAACATGTCAAGCATTGTCACATCTTTCTGCTGGCAAACAAGTCGGCCAAGCCGCATGTAGCCCTGTTGCAGCCCGTTGAATGGCCTGAAGGGCCGTGGCAAAAGTTGGGTATGGACATTGTCGGGCCGGTAAATGTATCTTTTTCCAGGTATCTTGTTACCTAAGTCGACTACTATTCAAAATGGCCTGAGGTTCTTGGCACGAATTCTATGCCCACAGAGGATGTCATTAAGCTGTTGGAATTGTCTTTTAGCTGGGAAGGGCTACCAGAATTCTTAGTAACTGACAATGGTACACAATTTGTCTCTGTACAATTTCAGGAATATCTAAAGAAATAGGGCATTCGTCATATATTTTCGTCCAATTATTACCTCCAGGCCAACGGTCAAATAGAACGCCTTAACAGGGTTCTTAAGGAACATTCGCAGGTAGCCAGACTTGAAGGTAAAGATGCCTCGAGGAGCATCACACAATTTTTGAGTTCGTATAGGGTCACACCACATGCTGTGACTGGCCTGTCTCCAGCTTTTTTGCTGCATGGTCGACAACCTCGTTCCAAAGTAGCCATTAGCAACTTTAGGATTCGCTTTAAAGTATCGGAGTCGCCCAATGGGTTGCCTCATGTCTGCAATCAGGTTGCAGCGAAACAGAATAAGATCAAAGGGTATTTTGACACAAGGAAAGGTGCGCAGCAAACCCGCATAAAGGTCGGCGATTTGGTTAAGGTAAGACTCCATAGGAAAGGCTTTTTCAAGTATAGTAGGCCTCTTACAGTGAAGGCTCAGGTTGCGCCGTCCACTTTTCTCCTCAGTGACGGAAAAGTGTGGAATGCATCCAAGTTAACAGTAATTCCTAGGGATTCTTTCCAATATGCCACCCTTTCGACTACACCCAAAGAACTTATTTACTCTTATTCCAGTTTAGATCTTTGTGGCAGTCAGTCTTCTGGTGCACCTACGTTGCAGGGCTCTACCCCCAGTTTTCAGCCAGACTCCGATTCGTCAGAGATCTCTTATAGTGAAGGGTCTGAATCAGTTGTTCCCCAAGGAACGTTGCGAATCAGCAGGACCCGGTACGGGTACCGTTTTCAAGTAATCCACTAAATCTCAACCCTGCGGAGGGGGAAGTGAAGGGACTGCAAGGTTTTCAAAGACGACCGAACCTGGTCGCACTTCAACAAGTTCTACTGAGACTTCTATGCGTCCGCACCGTCAGACAAAATGACCTGACGTGCTCAAAAATTTTGTCACTTAAGGTCAAAAGAGTTCTTCCTATAATGCCATGATTAGTGGGCCCAGCCACGACATTGCAGGATACTTTCAGTTTTGTGTTTTTTGCCGTGTATTTCGTTTCACAAGATGTGTGACGTATCTGTTGTAATAGGCCACTTGTGCCTGTGCGCGAACTGTTCTTCTCCCCGCCGCTCGTGTGGCGTGAACATTCCTTAGTGGAGATCCTGGTACTTTCTCTAGTGTTACCCTGTGATAATGCTCATTTTGTCGAAGGGGGGGGGGGATGATGATGTGTCGTGGCGCCACCTGTGAGTGGCACGCGCACTGAGTGCGCCCTAGTGGGTACTCTGTTCAACAGATGTCGTCTGTAATGGCACAAACGTGATTGCATGCAGCCAATCGCGTGTGTCCGCGTGTCCGTTGTGTGTCGTTCAATAAACGGCCGTTGGCCGGCTCAGTTAAAGTGAGCTAAAATAGGGTAGTGGGCTCACTCGCCGGCCGGCGCCATGCATTGCGGTGACGCCGCCAATGTCACACAAACGTGCTTCGGCGCGCCTCCGCGGCATGGCGCCACCGCCGCATTAAATGTAGCGAGCGTTGGCGCTGGAGCAGTTGCTGCCTGTTTGGAGTGGAGGTCGGTGTGTGCGAGCTTTGTTACTTTGAGAACTCATCACGCTTTGCATCCTCAATAACCTAGGTTCTTCGGTGAACAGTGATGTGGCCTGACAAGCAGTGACCCTCAAACGAGGTTAAAATGCTTCCGCGGCGGTGAAACGACTGTTTTGCGCCAGGCTGTCGTACAGGTTACGTCCACGTGAAGGGCAGCAAGAAGCCGTCTTTGTTCGGCGTTCCGAAGGATGCTGCCCCGAACAAGCAATGGGAAAGAAATTTGCATCGAGCGGACAAAGCCCTGGACGACACATCTGCCGTGTGTGACCTTCATTTTCAGTCGAAGTATGTGCTACGGGACTACGTGCATATAATCTAGGTGACTGGACTACGTGT